GATTGGATTTACACTAAAATGTCTCCTTAAAAATATCACATTTATTCCCTATTTAAATAGAATCAGTTTAACACGTACTTAGGTTTGCTGCAACAGGGAGGATAAAAGTGTTTTTTTTAATGTAAAATGTTAATAGTTAGTAAGAAATTAAAACATTTTCCAAATTTGGGCAAAATATGTTAATAAACAAGCAAACTACAACAGTTTACTTATTCTCCATAAAAATAACATAGGAATTTTAAATTTACAATTTTTTGGAATTTTCTCCGTAACCATTAGGCGCATTATGCTTCAGTATACTAAATTATTTGTTTTTTTAAGCTCTACAAAATAGTTTGGAAAGAAATTGCAAAATTTTATGTTTTTCAGGTCAAAAATAGGAAAAACCCATTTTTACCCCATAAAACCCCCCATAAACCCCCGTTCCCATGGTCCGATCATGCTGGTTCGCGAACTCCTTCAAATGAACGTAGGTTTACACGTTTGTACCAAATTTCATCAAAATCAGATCATTTTTGCTCGAGTTATTGTACTAACGGACAGACATATATATATATACAGGGTGTCACAAAAAAGTGTGATGGGCTATACAGCACCTAATTCTACATGCAAAAATAAGTCAAAAATGAAGAATAAATTTTTTTGGATTTCGGCTTAGTTTAGCCGTAATCCGCCATTTTGTTTTTTGGGGAAAATATTTATTATTTCAAAATTCCTTTGAGATATTTTTACGAAACTTGGCAAAATTGTTTACACTATAGTAAGTAACATTTATAAAAAAAATTATTATTTTAACTTTCCAAATTTAAAAATGGCGGCCGTTTGAATTTTTTAATGCCAAATTTCATGAAAACCGGTACCTAAACCAAAATTTTGTAAGACACAAAAGTTTTAGTATTTATTATGAAATTATGACAAATCCAACAAAACAAAAATGAATAAAATCGGTTCATAAATAAAGAAGCTGTATTTATTTTAGTAATTTAGACTGAAATTACTTAATACGTTACATAAACTATTACATTACATTTAATACATTTTAATATTAATAATTTCAGTCTAAATTACTAAAATAAACACAGCTTCTTTATTTATGAACCGATTTTATTCATTTTTGTTTTGTTGGATTTGTCATAATAAATACTAAAACTTTTGTGCCTTACAAAATTTTGATTTAGGTACCGGTTTTCATGAAATTTGTCATTAAAAGATTCAAACGGCCGCCATTTTGAAATTTGGAAAGTTAAAATAATATATTTTTTTATAAATGTTACTTACTATAGTGTAAACAATTTTGCCAAGTTTCGTAAAAATATCTGAAAGGGATTTTGAAATAATAAATATTTTCCCCAAAAAACAAAATGGCGGATTACGGCTAAACTAAGCCGAAATCAAAAAAATTTTATTCTTCATTTTTGACTTATTTTTGCATGTAGAATTAGGTCCTGTATAGCCCATCACACTTTTTTGTGACACCCTGTATATATGAATTTGAACGGACGGTGTTTTTGGCCTCTAGGGATCTTAAAACAAAAAAAATCGGTCCCGGGTCCAGGTCTTACCATGAGTACTACGGTAATAGCTTATTCCCTATATGGGAAATTCGCTAAAACTGTCGTAGGTAAAAACCATGGTGGAAGGAAAAAACATAGGTGTGCTATTCCCGTCATATTCTGACGTCACTTGGATTGCAAACAAAAGATTACCTGATTGTAACTGTCAAATTAGTATGTATTTGTTTTGATTTGATTTGTTATTGTTTTTTTTTTATAAAAACACACATTATAAAAACAAAATAACAACCAAATCAAAACAAATACATATACTAATTTGACGGTTATAATCAGGTGATCTTTTGTTTGCAATCCAAGTGACGTCAGAATATGACGGGAATAGCACACCTGTTTTAGCGAATTTCCCTATAGGGAAGTAGCTATTACCGTAGGTGGCACGGTAGGCAGGCCCGCTTTTGGCCCTGTCAGCGCCCTAGGCACAATTAATAGTAGTGCCCCTTTGCAATATATATAACAGGGTGTCCACCGACCGGGAAATCCGGGAATCATGCGGGAGTTTTTTTAAACGGGAATTATGTGTGAATTTTGTCTACGTTTCCGTGACGACCGCGGGAGACGATAATATGTTTACAACTGGCCGCGAGGGATAATCAGAACATTGCCACGATCACGGAAGACGATGATAATGTCCACGCACGACCGCGGGAAACAGCAAGAATTTTGCCGCGATCGCGGAAGACGATGATGATCTCCACACAACTGCGGGACATGATTAACATTTTGCCGCAATCGCGGGAGACGATTTCCATGTATTCACGACCGCGGGAGACGGTTACAATGTCTACAGGACCGCGGGAGATACAATAATGATTTTTACATGGCCACGAGGGATGATCAGAATTATGCCACGATCGCGCAAGACGATGATAATGTCCACATGACCGCGGGAAAAATCAGAATTTTGCCTCATTCGCGGAAGACAATGATCTCCATATTTCCGTGGGGGACATTTACCATTTTTCACAATCGCGGGAGACGATTACGATGTCTTCACGACTACGGCAGACGATTACGATGTCTTCACGACTACGGCAGACAATTACGAAGTCTACAGGACCGCGGGAGATACGATAATGATTTATACACGGCCGTGAGGGGTGATCAGAATATTGCCACGATCACGGAAGACAATGATAATGGCCAAACGGTCGCGGGTTAAGGTCAGAACTTTGCCTAATTTGCGGAAGAGGATGATGATCTCCACAAGACTGAGAGAGATGATTACCATTTTGCCTCAATCGCGGGAGGCGATTACTATGTCCACAAGACCGGCGGGGGACGATATAATGATGTCTTCACGGCTGCGAGGGGTGGTCAGAATTTGACCGCGATCGCGCAAGACGAGGATAATATCCTCACGACCGCGGGATATGCTCATGTATTGCCTCGATCATGGAAGACGATAATTATGTCTAAACAACTCAACCACGGAAAGTGGTAAGAATCTTGCCGCAAACGCGGGAGACGATTACGATGTCTACACGGCCGCGAGGGATTATCAGAAGTTTACCGCGATCACATGCAAATACAACCACCAATTTTTTTATTTTCCAAATTTTCGGCGCCCCCCAAAAAGCCAATTGCCTTGCGCCCTAGGCACGTGCCTACCGTGCCTATTCGGTAAATCGGCCCTGACGGTAGGACCTAGACCCGGGACCGATTTACTTTTTCACTTTGATGTCCCCAGAGGCCAAAAACACCATTTGTTCAAATTTATATATATGTTATATATATTTATATATATATATATACGTCCGTGAACGCGATAACTTGAGTAATTTTCGTCCGATTTTGATGAAATTTGGTTTAAAGGTGTAAAGCGGGATATACTTGAATGAGTTCGCGAACCAGCATGATCGGACCATGGGAACGGGGCTTTAGGGAGGTTTTAAGGGGTAAAAATTGGTTTTTCTAACTTTTGACCTTCAAAAAACAAAATTTCCCAATTTCTCTTTAGACCTTCCTAAAGAGCTTAAAAAAAAACAAATAATTTAGTATCCAAAAGTATTTTTGTTCAGTTATTAGTAACGGAGAAAATTTAAAAAATTTTAAATTTAAGACTCTCATGTTATTCTTATGGAGAATATATTGTCAAATGTTGTAGTTTGCTTTTTTATGGATATATTTTGATCAAACTTGGCAAATTTATTTATTTTGTACTAAGCTACCTATCAATATATTACTCAAAAACACACTTAATTAGTTTCCTTGTAGCAGCAAACCTAGGTACTCGTTAAACCTAATGTTATTAAATATATTTAACTGAAAATCAATTCAGACAAATAGAAATTCGCTTAGTCGGCAGGTTTGCTGCGGCGGGGGTATTTTCCTTTCACCATGGGTAAAAATTGTAAATGTACAGTTTTTTATATATTTTATTTATCTGTAACCTTTAATTGTACAATAACGCTTCAATATACAAAATTATTTGTTTTCTTTTAGCTCTTCTGTACAATGGTCATAATGAAAACTGCGCGGATGGGAATCATGTTTTAAGGGTAAAAATTTGAAATAAACCACAATTTTTTTAAAATTTTGAAGCCCTCCTAATACCCTGTTCCCATGACACCATCTTGTCAATTTGCAATCTCATTTAAGATTTTCCCAGCCTACTTTACCTTCTAGCAAAATTTCATCAAAATCGGACCAAAATTCCCGAGTTAAGTTACCCCTAATATTATGTGTTTATGGACACATATAACAATTTTAACAAACAGTGGTTTTGTCCTTTGGGGACAACAAAATGAAAAAGTAAATCGGTTCTGGGTCTAGGTCTTACCATCTATGGTAATAGCTACTTCCCTATAGGGAAATTCCCTATAAGATTAACATTCAACATCTAAAAGGTAAGGCAAAACAAAAGAAAAGTAACAAAACATAAATTTCAATAAAAAAATGGATTCTTTTTTTATTGCAAACAAAAAACTAATAAGTTAGTAAACAAACTATACAGTATAACTTTAGTTTAAGGTAATACAATAGGAAATAACTATTATTTAATAATATACACCACATGTTATTACAAATAAAATCGGACAAGAGGTATACTCTAATATTGTATGTATTAATAAATAATTTTTTGTTTGTTTATAGGTAGTGAATTGCTCGTGCTAAAATGAGTTATTGACAGTCATTAACTTGTGGAATATTTGACAGCAATTTTTTGTTGTTTTGGGATTGGCTTAAACTTAAAATATACTTTACTCCCAGTAATTCCTAATGGTGTTATGGAAACCCCTTAAGCATGTCATGTTTGATGCTCCACAAAACAATCATATTTAGGCTGCAGCAGTGATTACGAATTATGATCAATATATAGATTAACCAAAAACTGTTTCCTGGGTAACCAAAGTCGCATGTTTACTAAACTGCCAAGTGAACATTCATCAGCTGACCTGCAGTCCAGTCCTACCTCAATATTCTTTTGTTTTGTTTACTTTCAGTCTCACCAAAATATATGGTTGTGAGTAGAAAAAAATTTTAGTGATTTTATCTCAGAGAAAAAATTTGAACATACAAATGATAGTGTTTAATATGTCTAAAAAATATAAATAAACAAATATGCCGTTTCTTAAGTGTTACAAGGAACCAAGGTCAAGAATTCTAGAAGAATCAACAAAAAGGAATGGTCTTAAACATGCAATCTTCAGTGTCAGTGGAGAAAAGTACAAGGGAGAGTGGAAAAACAACTTGAAACATGGTCAGTGTGAACAGATTATATTTCGGATTTTTTTAATTTTAATGGTTGTAAGGCTAGTTTTGTTATCTGCAATCAACCTCATGCTCATGCTATGCTCATGCTATGCTCATGCTATGAATCAAAATAACCGAAAGAGAAATTAAAACCCAGGTCTATAAAGTCAATCTTTCTGAGTAATAAAACCAGCAAAATTAATATAGTCAATGGTAGTATGCTTTAAGTGTTTTTATACAGCTATTAGCATTTCAATACAACTAGACATTCCACCCCCATGTTAAATTTGTAGCCAGATTTTTTATAAAAATTGTCTTAGTTGATGTGAGCCACCTACAGATTGCGCTGATCTAAATTACTAAATTTCCGAATACGCAATATTTTTAACCAAGTCAAACTTAGGGAATGACTTATGATGAGTTATAGCAACTGTTATGACCCATCAACCTGGTCAGCAACAAAAAATCTATATAAAATCCAATGTATGTTTGTTTGTATGTATGTATGTTTGTCCTTTATGGACTCCGAAACCGCTCGACAAATTGTAGGCTAATGAAACTTTCAGGCATTATTAAGCATTATTCAAGGATGGTTTGTGTGAAGTTTGGTGCAGATCCGTAAAAAGGGCTCCGCCCCAGTGGCTCTGAAGTTTCCCATGTTAACCTTATGAGTACTCATATTTAAATGTAATTTAAGAATCTTAACAGCTGGTTCAACTAATCAATTTGATTCTGTGATGTTCAATAGTATTAAACAGTTAATAGGTTTACCAACAGGGTGCAGCACTATTATTTTTTTTAATTTATGACAACAGCTAATTTCGAATTTCAACCTGGAGGCGAGTTAGCGTCGCGAACGAGCTAAGCTGTAGGCAAGTGAGCACAGCGAACGAGCTCCAACCCAAAGGTGAGTGAGCGTAGCGAACGAACTTCAACCAGGACGTGATTGAGCCATGCGAACGAGCTCATCTTGAAAATGAACGAGCTTTTGACATAAAACCATTAGGACAGGACGACGTCTGTCGGGTCAGCTAGTAAGGTATAAAATAGAATTTTAGACACTAGCGCATTCTGTGACTGGCTCACACAACTAAATTCTTTTTTAATAAAAAAATTGGCTACAGCTGGTTATGTAGATAGGAAGTCTACTTCCTACTACTTACAAAAAAAATTCAAAAAATTTTAAATTTAAAATTTCCATGGTATTCTTATAGAGAATAAGAAACTGTTATAGTTCGCTTCTTTAAACTTGGCAAATTTATTTATTTTATACTAAGCTATTAACATTTTACAAAAAACTAACTTTATTACCCTCACTGTAGCAGTAGTAGCAAACCTAGGGGATGTTCGTTAAACCATTGTTATTTAAATAGATTTAAGTGAAAATCAAATAAGGGAATGAAAATTCACTTAGTCTACAGGTTTGCTGCGGCAGGGGTATTTTATACTATGTACTTTTTCCAAATTAAGATGTATATACCTCTATTAGTTCATTTTAGTTTTTTTTTAGCGCATTTCCCATATATTAGCGAATTTCCCATATAGGGAATAAGCTATTAGCGTAGTACTCATGGTAAAACCTGGACCCGGGACCGATTTACTTTTTTCGTTTTGAGGTCCCTAGAGACCAAAAACATCATCGGTTCAAATTCACATATAATATATATATATGTCCGTTAGCACGATAACTCGGGCAAAAATCATCCGATTTTGATTAAATTTGGTACAGTTCCCGAAAAAGCATGATCGGACTATGGGAACAGGGGTTTATGGGGTAAAAATTGGTTTTTCCCATTTTTGACCCTAAAAACTTAAATTTTAGTAATTTCTTTCAAAACCATTTTGTAGAGCTTAAAAAAACTAATAATTTAGTATATTGAGGCGTTATTATGTGCCTAATGGTTACGGAGAAAATTCCAAAAATCTGTAAATACCCATGTTATTTTTATGGAGAATAAGTAAACTGTTGTAGTTTGCTTGTTTATGAACATATTTTGATCAAATTTGGAAAATGCATTCATTTCACCCTAAACTATTACATTTTACAAAAAAAAACACCTTTTTACCCTCCCTATTGCAGCAAACCTATAAGTACTCGTTAAACTAATGTTATTTAAATAGGGAATAGATGTGATATTTTTAAGGAGACGTTTTAGTGTAAATCCAATCAGGCAAATGGAAATTCACTTAGTCTGCAGGTTTGCTGCAGCGGGGGTATTTTATTTATGTCATAGACCACATTTAATAAACAGAATTGGTCATTTCAGGCAAAGGGTCACAATTGTGGAAAAACAAGCACATGTATGAAGGCGACTGGTTGAATGGTCAGAGGCATGGCTATGGAGTGCTGTCAAAAATACTTGACGATGGAGTAACACAGATACTGCTTTATGATGGGGATTGGCAGTATGGAAAACCAGAGGTGTAAATTCATTATAATAACTAATAGCATTTAACACTAAATTTTAATCACATAGGCCTAACTTATTTTCATATACTGTAATGTTAATGTAATATTAGATTTTTATTTTAAATCAGGTACTTTATAGCAGTTTTTTTACTAGAGAGTAAGTTTGTAAGCTGTCCAGTTAATATGTGCCTCAATCGATAAGTTTTGATAAATCTACTTGACAAACTTACTACTTCTGTCACTTACCTTCTACTTTTTATAAAATATTCCTGATAGTTTTTTTCCCTAATCACTCTGTCAAACCTACACAGAATTTGTAATTCTTTTCGTTAATGTCTCACTAACAAGCTAAGTTAAGCAGTTCTACCATCATTTGACACCAATAAAATTATTGGTATCATGCATACAAAGAATATCTTTTCACAGGGTTTTGGGAGAAAACACTCTGGAGACGAGTATTACGAGGGAGAGTTTAAGTCAGGCAAACGTCACGGACAAGGCAGAATGTGGTTTGCTGACGGATCGTTCTATGACGGGACATGGGTGGACAACATGAAGAACGGGCTAGGACTGTTTGTTTACCGTAGGTTTGCCTCAATTTGTCAAGATTTTATAAATGTTAGTTCGGTACAGGCTTGACTTTCATTCCATGGATGCATAGGGCCGAAACAAATACTTTCCACTCCACAGTACACAATTTTTGGAGTGATTTGTTTTGCTAAGTTTCAAACTTCTATTCGAATCTTAGCCCACTGACCACTTAAAGTCATCTTTGGCCTTCGATCAATTTATAAAAAAAAACTTTCCAACTTACCAAATAACTATTTGAGCACGTGTTTCAGGTGCTTGAAGGAGGCTCAGGAATCGTTATAAAAACCATATAATTTGCCCAATGTCCCTGAGAGGACTTCTAGATTTTAATAAATAATGTCCTAATCTCAAACCTCATTCCAGATGCATTTGTTACGCAAGTATAGTAGGCCCATACGTTGTTCATTGCTGTTAGGTTTTTAGAAAGACATTGGCAATAAAACGTCAACCATTCTGTTTTGAGTTTACTTGAGTTTTAGCAAATTTCCCCATAGGGAAGTAGCTTTTACTGTAGATGGCACAATAAGACCATGATTCAGAACCAATTTGTTTTTTTCATTTTGATGTGACCAGGCCAAAAACACAATTTGTTCAAATATTTATATATATTACATAAATACATATTATATGTATATATATATATATATATATATATGTATAAATGTATCCATGACTCGATTTAGCTTGAAGGTGTAGGGTGAGATAAACAAACCAACAAGATTGGGTCATGGGAATGGGTATTATGAAACTTTTAAATGGTTGTAACGTTTTGGATAAAGTTAGAAGGACTATAACATACTAAATTTTAATCAAAAGAACTCAAAGAGTTTTTTTTTTATCTGATTGATCTGTTTTGCAATCACTTTTTATCCATAATTTTTACAGCAATAACTTACTCGACAAACTTAATACTTGTGTCACTTTACCTACTACTTTTTATAAAATATTCCTGGTAGTTTTTTTTCTAATCGCTATAATTAGGATTGTACCAATTTGTTGAGTTAAAAGGGCTCTAACATACTAAATTTTAATTAATCAAAATCATTCAAACTGTTTTCTTGAAAATTCATTTTTTTCTAATTTATGGGTTTTGTAGAAAAATTTTCATTAAAAATCTAGATTAAAAAAAAAATTAAAAAAAAAACTCCTTCAGATACCATGGATTAGTGCCTACTGCCTACATTCTAAATTTCATCAAAATCGGACCACAGGTGGTCTGTTGCTATCTGTACACATCCACACACACAATTTGGCAAATTTGTTTCATACTAAGCTATTAACATCTCAATAAAAAAAAAACACACTTTATTAACTTCCCTGTAGCAGTAAGACATTAAAATTAATGTCATTTTAATAGAAAATAGATCTGACAATTTTATGGGAATATTTTAGTGAAAATCCAACCAAGTAAATGGAAATTAGCTTGCAGGTTTATTTGATAATATCCTGGACTAAAAGATTGACTAAGAAATGTATAGTCCTTTCATAAACGATCTCTCTGTTAAAAATACCAAGCTACTTGAGGATAACAAAGCCTAAATAAAACCCTAAAGAAGCCTAAAGAGGATAAAGGTTGTTAAGTTGAAACCGCTTGAACAAGCTTCAAAGTCAATTACAAAGTTTTGGAATGGGGCATGAGATAGCTTGTCTTGTCTTGTAGGTGGGAATCGCATGACACAGTCACTATATTAATAATCCTAAATAGAAATTACTGTACAAAATTACAACTTCAAACTAAAAATCTGACCATAGAACTGTTGGATGAAATTAGAATTTTTCTGCTGTTAAAAGGTTAGATAGTAGGGAACTAGACTAAAGTCTGACTACATTTGAAATTAAATAAAAAAAATTTATTTATTTACACAAGCACATGGCCTTTTCTTACACCTTAACCTTTACATAAGTATACAACAAATATTTTATTAAATAAATCAGTTTACAATGAATCAAAATAGAAATCATAAATACAGAAACTAATTACTAACCCCACCGCAGCAAACCTGCAAACCAAGCGAATTTCCATTTCCCTAATTTGATTTTCAATTAATTCTATTTAAATAACATTAGGTTTAACGAGCACCAAGGTTTGCTGCTACAGGAAGGGTAATAAAGTGTGTTTTTAGACGAATATTATTATCTTAGTATAAAACTAGCAGAGTACCCGTCCTTCGTACGGGGTTGTCGTATTAATTATAAAAATGCTTATTGCATTTATACTCGTGCTTTGCATTTGCAATGGGAGAGGACACGGTTTGAGAAAATTCACATCCATAGTGTTCTACCACTACACATAAACCCCCCCCCCCGCAGCAAACCTGCAGACTAAGCAAATTTCCATTTGCCTGGTTGGATTTACATTAAAATGTCCCTTTAAAACATCACATTTATTCCCTATAGCTGCTGTACCCGTGCTTTGCATGGGAAGAGAAATTGGAGATGAGAAACTTTACCTATTAATAACAAAAAATCTTATCAGTTAAATCTATCTTATAAAATAATGTAAGCATATAAAAAAATTAATTGATTTAAATTTAATATCATATTGAATAAAATAGGAGACATTTAACAATCAAAAAACTATATAAAAAATAGTGCTAGTCATCTGATTATCTTACCCATATTTTTTACTTTATGACAATGAATAATGCAATCAAACCTATAACAAAATAGCATACATATTGGTGCTCGATTAAAACTTTATCTTGTAGTATCTCGTCAGTGGAAAATGTCGATTGAAATTTGATTATGTTGAATGATGACTTTCCAGAGTGATTTTAAAACATTCAATACAAAAAATTGATTAATTGAACACAACAAAGAAGAGAAATAAAATACATTTTAACCCATAAACCAGTACCCCAAGAGGTATAGTAATTATAAGTGCATCACATACTAAATGAATGAAGTTGACCAAGCCATAAAAAAAAAACAGGAAGACAAAGAAAGATTTACATCTGGCAATTTTTGAATGGTAGGTAATAGAACAAATGATAAATACCTAATGACAAATAATAACAAATAATAAATAACAGTGGGAAATGACATATAAAAATAAACACTGGAACAGTTATGATCTGACCCTTGTTAACGAAGGGCTTCTTCGTAAACAATGTTGGCCGTTCGACCATTTGGAGCATGGAGGAATAAATTTCTCGATGATCGCACTCTAGAACATGCAACATATAGCTGTCCATGAGAAAAACATCCTGATTTATGTAATTCAACGCCAGCTGTCGACAGTGTCTGACCCTGAGCTTTGTTGATGGTCAAAGCAAAGCATACAGAGACGGGAAACTGTAGGCGCTTAAATTCGAATGGGTAGTTGCTGGGGATTAATGGTATTCGGGGGATAAATACCACCTCCCCAGCTCCACATCCTGTCAGGATGTCTGCCTCGATGACATATCTGTGTAGCCGACGAACACGAAGGCGAGTCCCATTACACAGCTTCGGTGGATGTAAATTACGCAATAGCATTATTGGGGCTCCAACTTTAAGTGTTAGCTCGTGAGCCGGCAATCCAGGGGCTGTGACAGAGTCTAGGAACTCAGTAGGGTAGTGGACCGCGTCGTCCTGGCTGAGAACCGTGTTAACAGATGTATACGTCTGTTCTTCGCTGGTGAAAAGAGACATCACCTTGATGTTCAATTCGTTGGCCTGTTCGTTTGTTGGCGCCAAGATTGCTTTGTTACAGAGCCAGCCACTGTCCATATTTAATATACCTTCAATTCCTGGATAGACACTGTCGATGAGGTTTTGTTGAGATGTGACTATGGTGCCCAGAGACGGAGGAATGACAATAACTCCACTTTCATTTATCAGTGACCCATTCCCAACATGTAAAAGAACACTGGCGAATTCCTCCAAATCTGGTTCATTCCCTAAATTAACTCTCATATTCGTAGTTAATGAAAGACGATTTACAGTCGGCCACAGCTTGGATCTCTTCAGAGAAGCATTTACTTCGTCAGCACGTGTTCCCCGCACGACAACAGGCAGAGTTTGTCTGAAATCTCCGGAGAACAAAACTGTTACTCCCCCCATTGTGTTATTACTCTCTCTTATATCTCTCAATGTTCTATCCAAAGCTTCGACTGACAATTATTGGCCATCGTGCATTCATCCCAGACTATGAGTGAACATTCTCTCAGTAATTGGGCCATAGAGGAGTTTCTTGAAATTGCACATATCGGGAATTCCATATGGTCAACATTAATGGGAATTTTGAACGTAGAATGGGCCGTTCTTCCACCAGGTAGAAGGGTAGCTGCAATACCTGAGGACGCCGTAGCCAAGGCAATTTTGCTAACACTTCTAACCTTAGCTAAAATTATATTTATTAAGAATGTTTTCCCTGTTCCTCCAGGTGCATCAAGGAAAAACATATTGTTGTCCGTTGGATTCTCTGTACTGTAGATGACACGATCATAAACAATTCGTTGATCCTCTGTGAGTTGTGGTAAGTTCTGTGTGACAAATTCGTTCAGTTCAACTCGATCATAACAGGTCTCCTTTAGATAATCAAAGTTAAAATGGTTGTTTGCCGTGGCCGGAACAGGAAGTCCATAGCTATCTAGCTGAAGTCCTCCGATGGATGTGATAATTTCCTGTATCTTTGACAGGCACAGATCATAAAGGTTAGGACTGTTTTGAAATGTTATATTTTCATCCACCTGTTGAGCAGTCCTTAAGAAGTCCTCCGACATAGAGTCTTTGAACAACGTCCATAGTTCGAGGGGATGACTCAAGTTACAAAAAACTACCAGCACACTGAAAAGGTCTCTCAGTTTGGAAGGACTGTCTGCGACGGCTGCCTCTCTCATTGTTGCTTCCCAACATACATCGTCCTCTAAAAGACCGAGAGCTCTGCAGGCAGACTGAAAGGTTTCTTGCAATTCACCATCAACGGTCTTAAGGTCATCAAAAGATGTGGGACCTCGAACGGTGTGCAGAAGCAGTCGAAGATAGTATCGCTCGCTGCTGTTAGGATGG